CATAATTGTTAAGCAGAATATTTTAATATTCTATGTACAAAATTGCTCCCCCCCACGAACAAATGGGTCACACCCCTCCGCCGCGCTTAAAACATCACACACACCCCATTTTTACGTAAGGTATTTCACTTTGAAGCTAGGAAAATCTGATATTACCAACAATTAAGGACAAAGTTTCATCTCTGATATTCAACCCATGACGTCAACTACACACAGGCCTAGCTACGTCTTGGATCTTACTCTAGTTGCAAATGACAGGGTCTTTCGAATGTTTTACTTATAAGATTATAACTTTTATCGAGGAAAAGACTTATAATATTTAGATTGAATTTAAACAATATCTTAAAATTTGTTAAACCTGAACAATAATTACAAACATTTGCTAAGACTTCTGCCCGTATACGAGTTTCTAGTCAAACCACATTACCACAATCAGGGAGAATATAAATAAATGTTGTGGATTATCCCTGCCTAAATGTAAACCGTGCGGCGTTCTATTAAAACAGAGCCAGATGGCAGGTCGGCAGACTGGGCGCTGCAATAGTTCAGCTCGTTATACTGCATTTAACCTACATGCCCGTCTGCGCAGTCTAATGACACGTCTCTGATTAATGCTTTGCTGTGGGGTTCATCGGGTTTGTCTTACGATTGGGTACTGTAACCTATTTTAGATTTACGTGTCTGACAAATGCCATTAAAAGCTGTGAAATAAAAGTATGTAAATGTCACCTTGTAACAGACTCTCCTTCCACAGATTTTCCAAAAGAATCTTGACTGATCGGCATCATTGACTTTCACGGACACTGAGAACACTTGTCTTGCGTCCGCCCCAACTCGTCAAATTAGAGTTATCTCCCATGAATCGTACGCGGGTGCCCTCGATTAGACTGTTTTTCCTGCCCCAGAGCGCTTGCGCTCCTCTTTGCATTCAAATAGTACTTTGTTCCGCCGCTGGGAGGCGAGGGGCAGGGTACCAGTCTACTGCTATTGCAGCCTCAATGCAAACGATTATTGTTTCAGGTGTCAAATATTCCTGTGAGAAAATATTTCTGTAGAAACAATATCCTTGGAAAACAATACTGCTACAATTTGTAGCAAGGATACTACTTCCCGCTGAAATACTATCCACGGTGGAATGGATATGCCCGCTATATGAAGTGAGTGAGTATGGTTTTATGCCGCGTTTAGCAATATTCCAGTAATACCACGGCAGGGGACACCAGAAATGGGTTTCACACAATGTACCCATGTGGGGAATCGACGTGACGAGCGAACGCCTTAACCACTAGGCTGCCCCACCGCCCCCAATAAAGTGAAGAAAATACTGTATTAACAGTGTATGAAATAAGCCAAAAACCCAGCCAGACATCAGGGCTGGTAACTTCAAAATGTTACCAGCCCCAAAATGGATTTAACCAGATCAGACAATCCAAAGAAAATTACTCAGATGTATGGAACATGTTTTCTAAAAGATTTTACCATACCATCGGGCTGGCTAGCTATAAATGTAGACCGTCCGTCAGAAATCTACGGGCCTTATTTCATACACTGTTATATAAGTAAACAGTCTCTCTCTAAGTAAACAGTTCAATGAAACATATTACGCAGAGTGCCCCAATGCTGTTTTGTGAGTTAAATTTTCTGGACTATCCTTGCAGTCTGCATGTGTTATGATCAACCTTTATCTTTCTATATACCTCTAGGTAAGGATGGTGCATCTTATAATCATTATACGTTTCAATAAAAAATATCCATGCTACGAATTGCATATCCTGTATTACCTTTCTGACAGATAACACCTGTTTTTTTTGCGTTGTGAAATATTCAAAACACAGCAGCAGAAATCGTCATAACGTCATATTTTGACTGCACACTTTTATAACCTATCTATAATGACAATATTTGAAGCTGATATATAATATTTCACTATACAGTATATATCCCGGTATACCTTTCACTAATGTGACTTTTTGTAATTCATATCTGACTTTGCACTTTTAATTCATTTCGAACCTTTCCCTAATGTTATTTTTGTATTTCAGTGAGTATCAATATAATAATTAGCTATTCATCAAACTGATATCAAGGTCATATGTTGATATTTCTAAAGATTACATAAAGTTCGGATATATAAATAGAAGGGACGGCGCTAAACTTTTCCCAGGTGTATATATCAGCCATACTTACACTGATAAATCTGACGTTATTTCAGGAACAGGGGCTATAGTGTTCTGACTTTAATAATAATACCAAATATGCGGAGAAGGTTATCTCCCAATTGACAGACACCCATTTGACAGACACCCAATTGACAGACACTGAACTAGAAGGTTAATTAGGGTAACACCTACGGGTATAATGGAACAGTCCACTGTCTAGTGAGTAGAGCACGGTGAGCCTGAAACAGGCTCGTTACTGAAAAGTTTGATTGTAAATAGAACTTTGTTGTGATTAAATGATAAATGATTTCTCTTCTCAAAATTGATTTTACTATCAATTACTATCGAATATAAAAACAGGTTTGTCACTGAGAGGTTGATTGTGTTTATTGATAGAATGTTGCCTAGAGGCCCAGATAAGCTGCGTATCCGGGTAAAATACGCATAGAACATTCCAATTACGCATTGAAAAATAATTGTTGCGTACCAATGTTAGATACGCAAAAAGTTTAAAACTAAATGCGTACGAAATATATTTATAAAAATCGCTTGCGTAATGAAAAAGACATCGATTGCTAGTATAGGACTAGTGTTGTACTGTCAGTATAGGATGAGTGATTTTTTTATGAAATCATTTCCATTATATTTAAGTTGGTTTTGATTAGGTATGACATTAGGCAGGACATACCTGCTTAGTAAACTTACTCAATGACATAATACTTAGGTGAGTAAAATGACTCAAATACGTACATATTTGAAAGCAGTGGGTAACGGAAAATATAATACCCACTCAACATTCATAATATCCACTCCCCAAAAATACAGTGGGTACAGTACCCACATGAGCTAAATCTTATCTGGAGCTCTGGAACTTGCCATTATTGACTTTTATGTCTTTCCATTGGAGATTTTCATCACGCATTGCTCGTGATTCTTGAGTCAACGAATTGTATTGTTCCGTAAAGGATCTTGATCCTTGAGTGAGTGAGTGCCGCAGCTTTTCGTGGCGACCTGTCTTTGACCTTCCAACCCCACCCCAACCCCCAATAGCTGCATCTGCCCCTGAGTCATAGATTTGTCTGGAAGGAAGGACTTGCTTAAGTGAGTGAGTTTCGTTATACGTCACACTCAGAAATGTTCCAGCTATATGGCGGCGGTCTGTAAGTAATCGAGTCTGGACCAGACAATCCGGTGAACAACAACATGAGCATCGATTACGCAGTTGGTATACGATGACATGTGTCAACCAAGTCAGCGAGCATGATCACCCGATCCCGTTAGTCGCCTCTTACGACAAGCATGGGTTACTGAAGAACAATTCTAACCCGGATCTTCACGGGTGACTTTGCACAATGAACAAAGACAACTGGAAATGGAGGATACACGTGTAGGCTTGTGCATGAAAGTCGCAGGATGCTTCGAAGCGATAAAACATAAAGGTGTGTGTGAGTGATTATGTGTGTGTGTGAGTCACACTTAGCAGTATCCAAGCAATAACACTACGGGGACACCGTAATGGACTTCACACATCGTGAACGCCTCAGAGACATACATGTTGGCCTGTGTACACACGTGGAAGGTTGCTTCGCAGGACTGTATTTTCTGTAGGCGTGATGCTTACCAGTGGACAACTGGGCCTGTGAAACACAAGTAGACGGTGCATAGCAATATCAAAGTTTTATTACATCCTACATGATATATTTCCTCGATTGTTCCGTGCACTGAAGATTTGGGCTGCACCACTGTGTGCAACTGGCTGCCATACACGCTGACATTACAATACGTGGGAAAGACATACGATTTAGTCTCTCACAAAAAAAAAAAAAAAGATTATTAACATTTGTAATATAAATATATTTATTTGTTGGATTAAAAAAATGTTTGTCCAACAATCGTGTGGCTATTATGTTGCTAGTGTTATTCCGTAGAAATTCATCCCTAAAATATATAAAAATGTAACAAATTCTTTATTTATATTCTCGTGATTGTTTAGCGGGTGTTTGTGGAAAGTAAATGGAGACAGAATGGATAGAGATACGTATTTGTTGACTATTTCAGGGATGCATTTCTACCTTATAACACTAGGTATTGATTAGTCAGGTGTAGATTCAGTCATGTGCTTGAGGAAGCTGTTGTTGAACACAACGAGTACATTTGTATATCATAATACAGAAATGGAATTGAGGTGATGGTATTGGAACACCTGAGTGATAATGATAATGCCCTCCATTCACCAACGGGACATACGTTTCATATTATTACTTACAACATACATGTCTTTTCTGACGATCTTCATAGTTATACCCCAGTCATCCCCTACTGTGCTTATATTAATGCTGACTCATAATGATTGCTAATAAGATCACGTCCCAGTATCTTCCGATAACAGCTTGGTCTGTGACTCTCCTCATAATGCCGGGTTTGCTATTCACCTTATCAAACCCGAAATCTCTTATGTTCTGTATTAACAAAGATCTGTAGTTGTCGTAATAACTAGTGTTGGGAATTGGTTGAAATCTCACAACTGATGATTGCTTCATTACCAACGAACAATCATCGATAAAAATTGGTTAGCGTCAATTTTCAGATTTTCCTATCCAGGTTGTTATTGCAGATATGTATAACATGATGCACCTTGCTACTTAAAACTGATGTTGATATATCATCAACATAAACCTTCTGGGGTCTTCAAGAAATATTCAGTCATGACTTTTCAGTTAGTGAAGTGAGTTTTCTAAGAATGAAACAAGTTTTCAGGCCCTGACAACTTCGAAGTTATATTCCATCGTCAAGTGTTTCAAAGACTAAAACAACAGTTCCAAAATCGTTTGTGAGCAATTATGAGAAAATGTGATCGATTGCTTGGTCTTTTGGTCACTGCGATCAATCTTCGATTATTTCAATTAATCGGAACACCACTAGTAATAACCCGTGCATTGCAGTTCTTTCAGGGATCCGAGGTCTGGTTTTGCTCATCTTCTGAAGGTCTGTTATTGTCCTTAGACCATACAAGTATGTACTCCCACAAAACTTCAAGAAGTTTATGATTTCTCCATCTCCTATCAAGGGTCTGTGGGTACCTGGCTGGGGTAAGGCCACTGAGGATCACTGGTCAGGTACACCTTCTTCGTCAGAGTAAACAGCGGGGCGGGCACCTGCTTATACCGTTCCCATTTCTGACCCATCCGTGTCCTTGACATGTCCCTGTTGACCATCAATAGACAGCTCAGGAGGTCCTGCTGATCACTGTGGTTGTCTAACGTTTTAACCAAAGAACCGATGAAATAACTACCGTACTTTGTATTTCTGGAACTGGTGTACCCCTGAACGGTGCTGTGGCCAATAAAGATATCAGCTTCGTCAGCAGTTGAAATATCGGATTGATCATCCTGAATTAATTCACTCATGAAATTGCCTCCTCTTGATGCTTGGATGAAGAACAGTTTGGGCTTCCCTGCCAACGTGGGGCACTTTGATGCGTGGAACAACGAAGAAAGATCTTGCACTTTCACTATTTTACCATCGCTACCAGCGACACCGTAGTCTGTTCCATTTGTGAGGATGCAACAAACGAAGGCATCGTACTCTGTGTGATCTTGTTCGGCGTACTCTTTTAGTTTTTTCATCATATCGACGGAAGTTAAATCTGTCTGCAGGTTTATGGTGAACTGGAGTTTAGTGAACAACTCGGTCAGATTGTCGACGTCGATGTCCACACCACCTCGACGCGTCGGGAAGCCTTTCTTGAAGCTTTTATTGTTAATGATGAGGCAGATGCCCCTCGGAACAGCTGTCATCTTGTACTCTGAAACATGACGACAGAAATATTGCAGCGAGGCTTCTTTAGCTGAACCTTCAAAAACATAATGTAAAAATAACATGTTTTCAATAACCCCACAAAATCAAACTCCCCTAAATTAAAACTAACAAACAAGACCCCCCTCAAAAATGAGAAAAGTGAAAAAAATGATATAGAATAAAGTACCATAAACAAATTAAATCAAATGGCTCTAAGGTGATCTCAAGTCCCATATCATAATGTAGACTTTCGACTATATCGTAGCGGTAAGATCACTTTGTACAACTGAACCCAGAAGATTAGCACCAACACATTTGGACATGATGATTATTAACTATTTCAACATCAGTCAAGAGTTGTAGACGTGTATACTAATCTGCCTGGAAAAAGAACGGGTTTACTGGAAAATTACATTTGACCAATTTATTAGAAACGTCTCACAGTGAGAAATTTCTCACTGGGAATGTAAGGTTCAACGCACAAATATGTCTGCCAGCCGTATCTAACATTATCATCGAACTACCATGGAGGAAAATCTTTCTTTGCACGACATCTTATAAATGTTAAACACTCCAAAGTTTCAGATTGTAAAATTTTTAAATGTAAATTTAAACAAAACTGTATTCATATACCATACTTAATAGATAATGATTTCACAATAAAACGGCAGTTTACCTTCCTCTAACTTTCTGTTCTGGAACGATAAATCATCCATAATATTTTCAATTTCTTCCATCTCGAAAGAATCTGTCAAGCAGCTCGTATTCACTGACTCGCCTCCTGTGAAGTGAAGACACTCTCTGGCACTCCTGGAACACCTGAGTCCTGAACGTCATGTGAGGGACAACAGCAGTCCAGGGTGTTACACTCCAGCTGCATAAACTCCTTGTATAGGTCTGGATACTTATTGGCCATGGCAGCAATGATGTCTTTGTCGGACACCTCTTTTCTAAGCTCTGTCCATTTGGTGGTGTTAGACATTCCAGAACTTTTCAGGTCGCCAAACAGAGGAATTTCTATGATCTTTTGTTGCAGCAAAGGAGTTGCCACCCTTTTTAGCTGCCAATGTAAAAAATGATTTTGTTAGTGACTGTACATGTGGCTTTGTTTCGTAAACGCAATAATTACTAAAAGAGATGTCACTGCATATTAAATGGCTTTATCAAACGATGGTTTATAATAAATAAGCAGTTAATGCAAAGCGTTAAATATGATTAATTTTTATGATGGTCTTGTCAGAATATTTCAGGAGGGTCTGGTACATGTAGTAACAAGCACAAAAAGTTTTGGATAGTGTTGTGAACGCTGATGTGAATAGTAGATGTACAGGAACTGTGACGTTATCTACCTTACAGATGACGTTGCTGGTTATAAGCTCCAGAATGTTTAAGCTATGTATTCCTTTTATACTCATGTCCTTCCTCACCTGTACATATTTCCTGGCTCTGCAGGACACACACTGTTCATCTTCATGCTCCTCCTCCAGCCTGTCCAACTCTGAGATCAGCGCCTCTGCCACATGAGGATGATCCTTCCTCAGGGCTGGAAGCAGGATACGGTGGAAGTCCTCAAAAGACAGACGTCCAACGATGTAGCCGAAGAACTCTTCGTTCTGACCTCTCCTCGTGTCTTTGCCTCTGATACTATCCTTGTCTGACACAGACATCACATCAGATGAAAGAAGGTCATCAATGATGCTGGATTTGAAGAGCTCAAGGTCACTTGTCAGCAAAGTGTAACAGTTCCTGAGAGCCTCTCTATGGATATGACTGACCTTTGACCTCTTTTCTGTTCAAAAATACAAAAACAAAGTAACAAATCATCCATTTGTAATGAGGTGAAATTCAGTATTTGACAAATTACTTGCAGGGAATTTAATGAGTTGGTATTTGGTATCATTCATAACACAATGTGCTGATAAGCATTAACGTGACTGTCACGGGATAGAGGTTCAAGAGAGCTGTAAATTTTGAAATCTTTTGCTGGTAATGTCTTTGTCTCCTAATCTTTCAATCAGTTTTTAGATGCAATAACGTTGACCAATAAGTGTTTAAGTTAGTGCAGGTTATGATATCAGATGATTTGTCATGTAATTATTTGTCAGTGTGACACAACAAACAAACCGAAGGAATCTTTTGTGTGGAATCTGGAGTTGATCTGTTTTTCCATCCGGGTTATTGCACTGCGCATCGTCTGGAAATTCTGTTCGCCAGTCACGTGATGAAGCTTCTGCATGTACGTCCTGAAACGCGTCTCCACCTCCGCCAGTGTCAGCAACATCGTCTCCAGTAGGAATTCGTGGACCTCTCGCTCCCTATCATCGGTAGTCTCCGCCAGACTCCGGACAAACTCTCTGGCATAAGGCAATCGTCTCTCCTCGGTAGACATCGTGGTACTTATCTGTTAACAGATGATGGCATAAGATTTCATTAGTATGTATGTTGTTTAATGTCTCACGTGTCAATATTCCTGCTGTATGATGGCGATCTGTAAATAATCGAGTCTGGACATGACAATCCCGTGATTGATAGCATGAGCATCGATCTGCGATCATCGGGCTACGATCACATGTTTTCAAAGAACATTTGTTTTGTTTACAGTTAAACAATTTTATACATTAGGTTTTTAACATAATGGTTTGGGATAAATGCTTTCCGATGACGTTTGAAGTAAGGGCACAGAAACATGTCATGAAATTCATCGCCAACATCGCACATGTCGCAGAGATTACATTTTCTTTCTTTTCGGAGATCAACAGCATGATCAAAGCATGGGCATCGATCTACACAATTGACACCCCTCGATCCCGTTAGTCGATTCGTATGTCAAGCATGTGTTACTGGAGCTCGATTCTAACCTGGATCTTCAGGGGTACATCGGTATGTCAAGATAAATTCAAATATCGACACGTTTCATAAGCACTGTTCAAGTTGCCATTTACGTTTTCGTTAGATATTATGAATTGTAATGAGTATGCGCTACTGTAAAAATGAAACAAACATAAAAAAATATAAAAAGTATGTCAACATAGGACGCATACAATCCATGATATGCTTACTTATTTCAGAACACCCGGTTTCAGCACAAAGTCATATATAGTTGTCACCGCTTGCTTTTTAATTAGGTCCAAAGACATTGAGACTGGTTATTCTCTTTGTGTTATGTTTTTGTTGTATTTACGCTGCCAACCTTATCTTGCAGTTGGCTGAAGTCAAGTAATATACGCTGACATGTTTTTTCCCTCTAAACTGATTTATTCAATGAAAGGCCTAAATTTATTAAATACGGTTTGTCGACCAACCATCCCTTCAAGTTCAAAATTCTCGAGGATGCTGCCAAGTAACAGTTAGATAACATATCTTGAGTTTACCGCTATGTACCATGTCAAATGCCCACATTTGCTGAAACGATATCTATAAGTAATGCAAAGACTAAAACAGTGTAAGACCTACAAGATCGTCTAACTGACAGCTACATAGTTTACACCTGCGTCTGTTAACTACGTAAATACAGTAAGTATATACATGCACCATCTGTTCTCTCACTACAAAAGATAATTCCTGGTAAGGAGTTTCAACATGAACACAAAAATAACGTTGACCTGAGTACAATAGTGAAGGGCATATTGTGTTTTACGGCATTGACATCAGTATAATAGTGAAGGGCATATTGTGTTTTACGACATTGACATCAATTACAATAGTGAAGGGCACATTGTGTTTTACGGCATTGACATCAGTTACAATAGTGAAGGGCATATTGTGTTTTACGACGTTGACCTGAGTACAATAGTCAAGGGCATATTGTGTTTTACGACATTGATCTGAGTACAAAAGTGAAGGGCATATTGTGTTTTACGACATTGACCTCAGTACAATAGTGAAGGGAATATTATGTTTTACGATATAGACCTCAGTACAATAGTGAAGGGCATATTGTGTTTTACGACATAGACGTCAGTACTATAGTGAAGGGCATATTGTATTTTTTTACGACATAGACCTCAGTACAATAGTGAAGGGCATATTGTGTTTTACGACATTGACCTGAGTACAATAGTGAAGGGCATATGGTGTTTTTACGACATTCACCTCAGTACAATAGTGAAGGGCATATTGTGTTTTACAACATTGTCCCTCAGTACAATAGTGAAGGGCATATTGTGTTTTGCGACGTTCGACATTTTCCTCATAGGTCAAGCTGACACGCATGGCTAAATAGGAAGTAAATCTACCCGACATGCCCAGCTCACATACAGCAAACGAAAATTGCCTATGGTACGATATTTTTTTACGGTTGTTTACACACTGATTACACTGAAATCGGTCGACACATGCACGCTGGTGCGTTATGCCCTGTGTTATATGCAGCGTTTCTTGATAGCTTACTGATAGTTTACCCAGCTGTCCGGGTTTAACATGGCGGAACTAGGTAGCGAGTATTACTTACACTGTCAGGTTTAAGGTGAGGTGGTGAGGACACGAGGACAGGAGGACACAGGACACGAAGACACGGACATCTACTCAGCTGGCAAAACACACACACGTGTAAATTCCAGCATAAGTTGTCGGCTGTTAAGATGCGTGTGTGGTTTTACCTTGTAGCGCTGCACATACCACAGATTGTGACGCTCAATAGATATATATAGGTCAAAGGGCAAGGGTGTATGTCTATTTAAAGCGTGGTTCATGTAAGCGGACCAGTCTCGCTTGAGGTGTTAGCGTTCACAAGTCTTACTTTAGACTAACTCTAATTTAATATACAACTCTGATAGAAACAAAGAACGCCATTTAAATTGCTTGGGGCGAAATGAGAGATTCAGAACCTGACGAAAGCTAGACTTGCTATATTTAGAACGTTTGTATTACAGGTAGTGTTGGATTGAAGGGATATAACATGGTTCAGGGACTGTGAGACAGGCTAGTTTCGCTGTAGCTGTTGTGGTCTTTGATAAAACTTATCAGAGTTTAGTTTAACGAATGTTCACTGAGGGTTCATGTATGTGTACAGCAGTGTTAATGTACGCAGTACAGTTGCATTGTAATATCGTCGGAATGTAATCTCTATGGCAGGTATCCTAGCAACACAGTCTTGTGGCGTGAGTATATGAGTTACAGTAAGATGGTAAACGAGGGATTCAGTTGAATACATGAACATTCCAGGAATTTGTAATGAGGTACTGTTATTCATTGTAGGACAGTGCTGTTTTCGTATTACATTCTTTATATTGAGATTCCGTGTTGACCAGTGTTATCATATTATCATATTCTAGTTATCATATTCAGACAAGGAGTCAAGAGTGGAATTTCCATCCCGTAACTAAAGTGAGTAGTGAGTGAGTGAGTGAGTTTAGTTTTACGCCGTTTTTAGCAATATTCCATCAATATCACGGCGGGGGCACAACTGAAATGGGCTTCACACATTGTACCCATATGTGGGGAATCGAACCCGGTTCTTCGGCGTGACGAGCGAACGCTTTAACCACTAGGCTATCCCCCGCCCCTCCAAAGTGAGTAGAAGACGGGTGCCTGGAAATGCCCTTGCGTTGACATTATTAGAATGGTCCCCTCTAACCGATGTCATACCGTAAACATCATATATGACATCACATTTCGAAAACCCTTTCCAAGGCTTATTTCAATACCTTTTCCATTCTGAAGTTTTAAAGAAAAACGTCCAGCCTGCACAGATATAGGCATCTTGATGCTAGTACACATTAATTATATATGAATCAGACAACACTCATGTAGAATAAAACGACAAAATATAACAGATGTAGTTATGTTTAACACGTCTAACCTACACATAACTGTTAACAAACAGAACCGAATTGTTAATAACGAATCATAGAGATAACTCATAGTCATCGCCATCCCTATAGTGAGTGGGTGAGTGAGTGAGTTGAAGTTTTACATCGCATCGTCATTGTTTCAAGCCAGATAGTGACCATCCCTATAGAAACACATATATATGTCGACATGAATACGAGCATTGGTTTATACATTGTTTAGAACGAACAGGCTTATAACGAACTGACAGATATTGCCTATATTTTAGTCGAACTACGGTTATAGCGAACTTAAATGAGGGATTTCGGTTATATGAATAACATCAGCCAAACAATAAATATGAATGGCATTTGCTTACACTCGAATGTTTGTTATGATTCTAAAGTGAGAATTGTGTGCACAAGTTTTTATGACTTTTGTCAATTTTCAATTGCAGTCGCCAAAAGTATTCATTCATAATTTAAGATTTCCAGTATTAGTATATTTAATGCATAGGGAGCCAAGCCCGCCAGGACACTGCACTTAGCTGTACAGAGTTACGTCCCTTGTGCTTGCCAGAAATCTATGAACTGATATACTGTCATAAGTGGAGTAAAACTTACACATTAACAAATTCATAGTACAATACAGTTTTAAAAGATATGTTAATGTTTCTGTGAACTGAACGAGGGTACGAATCTTTGATTCCTCATGATTATTTTCCAGGGACTTTCAGCAACATACCCATGGTTGTTCCTATAAAGAACGTCAGTGCCAAAGAACACCCAGTTTTAACAATCCCAGAAGCAAATTCCGTAAGTGTATAAAGCAAGGTGGGAAACGCATCAATTCTGCAGCATCAGCTCTGGTTTGCTTCCACATCAAGCTCATATGCGCTAATATAACTGAACTACCGTTATAAGAGGAGTAAAACTCACATTAACAAATTCATACTAAAATATACTTCTAAAAGAGGTGTTAAATAAAATATATAAGTATTTTATTAACGTTTCTACCATGTTTACAAGTGTTCTTCCATATATTTCATTGGGACTCTCGTGACGTAACAGTACTTCTTTATTCATTTGTATGTTTTATTGAGTGCGGGAGTGAGTAATTAACTGGGTTTTACGCCGCTTTTAGCAATATTCCAGCAATATCACGGCGGGCGACAACAGAAAAGGGCTTCCCTCATTGTACCTACGTGGGATATCGAACCCGGGTCTTCGGCGTGACGAGCAAAGGCTTCACCCACCTGCCTACCCCACCGCCCCTATGATTTATTGAAAAGCAAAATACCAGTATCATTTCATGCTACCAGGGTCGAATGTAGAAATACTAACGCCCGTCACGTGCTGTAGCTTGTTGATGTCGCCTGGGCGAAGGCCACATGTGAGTTTAGTTTTACGCCGCACTCAGCAATATTCCAGCTATATGGCGACGGTCTGTACATAATCGAGTCTGGACCAGACAATCCAGTGATCAACAGCATGAGCATCGATCTGCGCAATTGGGAACCGATGACATGTCAACCAAGTCAGCGAGCCTGATCACCCGATCCCGTTATAGTCGCCTTTTACGACAAACATTCCCCAGCTGGGGTGAAAAGTGCTTTCAACAGCTGTACTGCGCTGCGCACATAATGCACGCGCAGTGAATAGGTTTGCTTGCCTTGAACCGGGATGCCCAGATTACTTGGTTGACACATGTCATCGGTTTCCAATTGCGCAGATCGATGCTCATGCTGTTGATCACTGGATTGTGTGGTCCAGACTCGATTATTTACAGACCGCCGCCATATAGCTGGAATACTGCTGAGTTCGGCGTAAAACTAAACTCACTCACTCACATATGATATGAATGTCGCTTTTATATTTGTACATTTTGTTTTATAAGAATATCACATAAGCAGACGTTTCTAGAAATCTTTATTGAAATAGAACGAAACAGGTACAGTCTAGTGGAAGACACTGAAGATGCTTTGCAAACAGTCATTAGGTTGCTTCACACGCATTTCAGTTATACTTGGACAACTGTCCAGACAACAGTTTATCCAAATATGCCTGTAACAGTGAAGAAAACCAAATAAGCTTCCTCTTTTCTACGTCTTTGTGACCAAATCTACAGTTAGGCTACATGTCAATTCATACATTACTTCAGCGACAGATCAAGCCTATTATGCCCATATCTTCAGTTTTAACTGTATTGGAAAGAAATTCTTGTAATTCTGCACTTCTGATTCAATTATAGATATAAACAGATCACAGTAAATATGATATCCATAGTTGGCTAAAACTAATTCATTCTAAAGCAACACACAGATTTTGCTAAAAGGAGTCAAAGATGAATTCAAAGATGACCTGTGTTTCTTTCAACTGATAGTGCAGATACCAATCTATTTAACTGCATTGATAATGCCTCCCACCCCAACCCACCACCCCTTCCGTTAAGAAAGAACTGATTGTACGACCTGTTACGCGTCTTCAAGACAGTGTTTGTTGTTGTGCAACATCCCGCAAGTTTCCTCAAGATATCAATCAAAATGTATCAGTCTCTGTTGAATGAACACAATTCGGCGTATGTATGTATGTATGTATGTATGTATGTATGTATGTATGTATGTATGTATGTATGTATGTATGTATGTATGTATGTATGTATGTATGTATGTATGTACGTACATACATGTACGTACGTACGTACGTACGGTAGGTAGGTAGGTAGGTAGGTAGGTAGGTAGGTAGGTAGGTAGGTGGGGACGGACGGACACATGCATGCCTGCATGAGTGTGGAGGGGGGTAGGGTGGTAGGGTGGTATGCATTGTATATATATGAAATAAGGATAACATTTTATATAACAAAATTATTTATCCCTCTCCTCATAATGGTGGAAGAGCGCATGTAGAGATGACCAAAGGGAAAAGAAATCTGTCAATACCACAAGAGGAGGAATAAACATATCTTGTACTGTCATAAAATACTTGATTATCTCCCTTTTCTCATGACTGATAAAGGGTACAGTTGAATTTCTGCTGTGTCTAAAGATAACTTGCTTCACAGTATTATGGCATTATTGGATTGTTATTTTTTCCTTTGATTGCAAGTAAAACATTCTGTTTTGTGAAATATAACGGAATATTCAAGTGAGTTAAGAGCCATGACTGGAGGTTTTCCAGATATCTTGAACAATTTCACAGTCCCAAAATAGATGGGGAAAGGATTTATTTAAGAAATGTCTGGCTTCAAGTTTCAAGAAGTATTTTGTTGGGTTTTCGCCCTCTTCTATCCATTTAGCTTTTGACTGATGTCATCTAAATAAGTACTAATTTTGTTAATTTCTTTTAGTATATCATTTTCTGCTATGTCTGTATCAGATTTATCTAGTCTGATTACCAGGGAGTCTAATTGTGATTCCAGCTTGTTTTCTGTATGCAACATAATTTTCGTTTGGGTTGAAGCATAATAAATTGTATTTCCTCTAATTATTAATAGTAGAGTTTCCCAAAGTAATTGATCATCAATAGAATATGTTAAGTCATTGCCCTTATTTTCATCATTGATTTTGTATTGATAAAGTGTAGATTTTATTGTGGATTTAATAATTTCCACATATCTTCATCTTTGCAGCCATAGGATAGACAGGAGGATGAGGCATCAATGTATACAAATAATAGGAATAATGAATAGCAGACCAACAACATGTGGTAATTTGACAAAAATGATGTACCCGTACCTTTTAATGTGACTTCCTACAAATAATACTGAAGTGGAAGTGAAACATCAAATAGAGACAAGAAAAATATATACATATGTATAATTTGATAGAAATTAAATCTACCCAACTTATAGTTTATCCGCCCATTAACCATCTAGGGTAATGGCGATATCGAAGTAGTCAAACTGGGTGCCGTTGTACAAAAGAACCTTAGCGCTAAGACTACCTTAAGTCTATGTTAAGGTATGGGAGTTCCGGTCACCTTAGCGCTAAGATTGCTTTGTACAACGGCACCCTGCTCATCTTAGTCACAGTAAAAAAAACATGTGACACCTGCTGAACGAAAACTGAACAAACATAACACTTTCATCATAGACAAAAATACAAACTTAAAGCGTCTGTCTGTGACAAACTTTCTACTCAAAGCTGAAAGTATAAACCATATAATCCCAACTTTTAAAGTGTTTTAAACAAATCATGATAAAATGACTTTTTACCTGTGATTATTTTTTTTTTGAAGTTCGCAAGTGACGCAGAAATTGACACGGTCACGTGGATACGGTATCCTCCCTTTCTTACACATGTCAGTTGTTTCACACCCCAATACACATAAGGTCACAGACCACTGCACACACCTATTACCTATTAGGGAAGAATGGGATAGTCCATACTCGTTCCAGACATTTGTTGTAGAGGAATCCTTCAAAAAGAACTTGTGGTCTGTTTCCCTGCGATGTGACATACTCTACTCTTGTATACCAGCCATGATTAATCTGCGAGGTTCACCCTAGCCATGTACAGTAAATGATGTATTTTCTCAATATAATTGAGTTAACTCTATTAAATAGTTAGTCCCGCCTTGAGAAGAAGAAATCATCTCAAGATAAAAACAACTGACTGTAAATATTAAAAAAACCATCTTTAATCAAACAAACATTTCTTGAGTAACCCCCAACCTGGCTGTGTAACAACTGGCATGTGAAACAAATGGGAGACAATTAATGACAGTTCTAAAAATAGCACGGTTTGTAAATATTGACACGTGGGTGTAGAGTCCACATATATGATATTTCCGTTCAGTTTGGATATCTTGGTTACTGAAAAGAGGAATAATAGTTCATAAACAAGTTTCACAACAAAAAAGAAGAAAACATTTCGTGATTTTGTTAAATAACGGACCAGGTAGAATCATAAACATTGAATGTGCGGATACTATTTGCTTTAGACATTGTCATTCAAGGTATTCACAGATCATCATCCAGTCCGACATTTTTCCAGGCAAATTGTCTACTTAGTCGGTATTGCAGGGTGATATCAATCCCCCTCTCAAGAATCCTTGTCTGTAGATTGCAAGTTTGACGGAGCTCATAAGCTTTCCTCTAGTTTTCCTCTGTATTTTCCTCTGGCACGGGGAGGTCAGTACGAATTGAGACCTTTCTTTCTCTCGATAGTTTTCCCTTGGTGAATGTAGCATTTAATATGTCCTGCCTGTCAGGCATCCTGACAAGCTTTACAACAATCGGTTTGGGCATATTAACAGTTGTCGGGTTAGTACTATGACGAGGTAGTCTGTGGATATTAACCAGGTCAATGCACCCAGGACTGTTTATACCGAGATCTTCGAACAATTCAATGCAGTCCTCTAGAGGGTCTCGCGTGTCTGGGATACCATAAACAAGTAGGTTGCACTTACGATGGTACAGTTCTTGTTCAAGGAGCTTGTTTTCAAAGTGACACTTCATCTCGGCCATGCCCGACATCAGCGTGTTTACCTTGGCCTTGTTGTCCTGAACAAGCTAGAAGTTACGTATAAAGAAAACTTTCTAATCAACAAGTCGAATCTGGTTAGGAAGTTATTCAAGGCTTAAAGACTAACACATATGTTTAAAGGAAGATTACCATACTTTTGTAGCATTCACCATATTTAGCTGCAGCAATGATCATTATAGCACCTTAACCGACAGATATACATGCACGCACTCAGACAGACAGACACACACACACTCAGACAAAAAGAGAACAGTACGGAAATGTGTTTCTTCACTGCTTGTGATCCCAAAGATACACCTGTATGACTACAAATACTAAATACAGCATATAATTGAATAAAAACTAGTTTACACGGTTTTGACATTTCTACCAGCCAGCAAGAAATTACTTTTATTAAAAGCACGAAACCGAAGAAGAAACATCAATATCTACCTCCCAGTTCTCAGAATGTTCATAAATCTGTTTGTAACACGTACGTGTAAAAATATCATGTTAACCTCTCAATGTCCAGCATCTAGGGCTTAGCCTCTTCAGATGGGTAGGGCCACAGAGGATCACTGGTCAGGTGAACCTTCTTTGTAAGGGTGAACATAGGGGCCGGAACCTGTTTGGCACCCCCAAAATGCTTAGCAGAGGTTACCATTCTCATGTTGGATACTGATCTGTTTACCATTGCTAGACAGCTCAAAAGATCTTGATCGTCTCCATAAGTATTAAGAATGCGGGTAAGAGTTTGTATGAATTTACTGCCGTGGAAATTGCTTCTGAAACTAGCATAGCCCTGTACGGTGGAATGTCCAATGAGGATGTCAGCATGATTGGGAACAGAAGTTATTTCTTCTTTGAGTAGCAGGTCCTCTTCTTCTTCGAGATAATAATTTTCCTGTGGATGGCCATACATGATATCCGTACCTCTGGAAGCGTTAATGAAAAACAGTTTGGGTTTTCCTGCTAAGGTTGGACATTTTGATGATGCAAAGGGTGCTATCAAACTGTCCAGGCTTACAGATCCACCATCACATCCTATAAGATGATCATCTGATGTGCCATGCGTAAGAATAAAACAGACAAATGCATCAAATTCACTGTGGTCTTTTCTGGCATATTGGTGTAATACGTCGATCATTTCGTTTGCGGAAAGATCTTTTCTGACATCCACAGTAAATTGAAGTTTAGTGAAAACTGATCTTATTTCTGCTGCATCAATATCCGTCCCACTTCGATTGCAGAACTTTTCAAACGTTTGGTTTTGTATGGTCAGACAAATTCCTCTTGGCACTGCAGTCATCTTGTATTCTGAAACGTAACATTATGTTTGCAAAATATATTAGTCACATTGAATAGATCTTTAGAAATCACTTAAAAATTCTTCATTCACGGCAATATACATTAAAAGTGTACAAAACATATCAATAATGTGAAGGAATGTTTATGGATCTTTAATTGACAGGACAGAATATTTGAATTACCGTTTTCCTCATCGCTCATCTGCAAGGGCAAGTCTACATTGACATTTTCAAACTCCTCCAAATCATCCATGTCAGTCAAACAGCTTTCAAAGTCATCAAAACTTGCTGATGCTGTGTCAGATCTTTTCAAATGTATATTTTCTGCAGAAACCGGAAAAACCTTAGAAGGGCAAGTACATTTAAGGGAGTCACACTCCCGTGTTATGAACTCCCTGTAAAGATCAGGATACTTTCTCTCCATGGCGGCAATAATGTCTGTGTCTGATACGGTCATTCGTAGCTCTGTCCATTTTGTGTTGTTTGACATTCCGGGGCTTTTCAGGTCAGCAAAAAGAGGCACTTCAATGATCCCCTGCTGTAGCAAAGGCGTTGCTATCCTTTTGAGCTGTCAATGAAAATTAAATTGAATTTTCATTTCTCATTTTCGATGTTATTCTTTACAAGACAGGGTGAAGTACCTGTGTTCACTTTGAGATTCGTTAATGATTAGACAACAAAATTCTAACAGAATATGAGGAAACTGAGTATTTAAATCAACGAAATTTGTTACTGTCCATGTAGTCAAGTAACAGTATCCAGGTCATAATGAACACTTGCCAGGTGATAAATGATATAACTTCTCTACGATCCAGTGAATAGTACCGTGTTCATTATTTGATCATTCTTTTTGCTCCTATGATCCCGATTATTTCACCTGTACATATTTCCTGGCTCTGCAGGACACACACTGTTTATCCTCATGCTCCTCCTCCAGCCTGTCCAGCTCTGAGACCAGCGCCTCTGCCACATGAGGATGATCCTTCCTCAGGGCTGGAAGCAGGATACGGTGGAAGTCCTCAAAAGACAGACGTCCAACGATGTAGCCGAAGAACTCCTCGTTCTGACCTCTCCTCGTGTCTTTACCTCTGATACTATCCTTGTCTGACACAGACATCACATCAGATGAAAGAAGGTCATCAATGATGCTGGATTTGAAAAGTTCAAGGTCACTTGTCAGCAGAGTGTAGCAGTTCCTGAGAGCCTCTCTATGGATATGACTGACCTTTGATTTGTTCCCTGTTAAATACACGAAAATGATTTAATATCAAAGTCATTTGTAACATGGTGTAATTACCTAACTTGACAAACCTAATTTAATTCTTGCAGATTTTCGGATGAGTTGGTATTTGTTATCATTCATAAGATAATATAAACCGACGTTCAAAAGAAACTTGGCAACCAAAACATTTAATTATTGAAAGACAGATACTTTCACCTAAATGTAACAGAGCTAAACCCGATCCTCAAACATCCCAGATTACCAATCCGTGTAATGACAGCAGCGTCTTGCATGGGTATTTTGAAAAAGTGGAGTTTTTTTTTTGCAAACAGCATGCTATATGCGTGGTTAGAAATTGCACACACACAAACGGTGTAAAAACGGGTCAGTTCACATGTTAGACATGCACTGTTAAAAAGAGTTAACAAAAGCAGAGAATGAAAGGACCTTGGGAATGCTGCAAATGGGTACACCACAGTTGGTTGGTTGGTTATTGTTTAACGCCGCACTCAGCGATATTCCAGCTGTATGGCGGCGGTTTGTAAATAATCAAGTCTGGACCAGAGAATCCAGTGATCAACAGTATGATCATCGATCTACGCAGTTACGATGACATTTGTCAAGCAAGTCAGCGAACCTGATACCAGGATCCGTTAGCCGCCTCTTACGACAAGCATGGGTTGCTGAAGATCAATTCTAACCTGGATCTGCACGGGTCGGGGACAGCATAGACTCATGTTGCAATGGCATTGAACTGCACCCGTAATGGTGTAGACAACTGTACTTTACTTCGTCCAGCGATTCAGAACAAGAGGTCTGACAACAGACAAGCCAGCAACAGGCAGATCAAGGTGTCAACAACGTTCAAGTGTTACCCTGGCCAGCTCTCTCTCCAGATCTTAATCCCATATAGCACCCTTTGGACATATAAATGGACAGCCAAAGTCGTCGGCTACAACAACCTCACAACACCCTAGTTGAACTCATTGCAGCCCTCCATGAAGAATGGCGACATATCCCACGTGACGTTATCAGGCGCCTGGCGAATTCAGTGCGTTTGAGAGTGTTTGCCTGCATTCAAGCCAATGCAGGTCACACACGCTACTAGGGTGACACATAACACCACCTATGGTCATGTTGTTCTAAGCTGACCATTTGGACATGCATTGAAAAGGTGTTTTGTGTACCTCAGATGGACATTACCAGCCATATTTAATTCATTGTTCATTGTATTGTTAGGACTGTTTGCGCAAGAGTTTAGCACATATTGATGTTTACATGTTGTTTTATGTTTTCTTTTGTTGTTTTCTTCGCTCCCGAATTTCAAATCGTTGCCACGTTTCTTTTGGACGTTAATTTACTGTGGTGTAATCATTATCGGGAATGGTAAAGACTAAAATACTGATATATTTTTACTGGTACCTTTTTTGTCTCCAAATCTTTCAATGAGTTTTGAGATGCAATAACGTTGACCAATAGACTAACAGCTAGTCTCTGAAATGAACATATTTTACAAAAAAGCTCATAGTAAAAGAAATAAAATATAGTGAAAAGGAGCCCGGAGACCGAAGCTGTGGAAATCTAGATTTGCCACATGTTCTAGACTTGTGTGGGCTTTCTTGGATATGTTTGCCTCAGGGTCTGTATGACAGACTAGTTGACCAATAACTTATGTGTGTAAGTTAGTGCAGGTTATGACATCAGATGATTTGTCATGTAATTATTTGTCAGTGTGACACAACAAACAAACCGAAGGAGTCTTTTGTGTGGAATCTGGAGTTGATCTGTTTTTCCATCTGGGTTATCGCACTGCGCATCGTCTGGAAATTCTGTTCGCCAGTCACGTGATGGAGCTTCTGCATATACGTCCCGAACCGGGTCTCCACCTCCGCCAGTGTCAGCAACATCGTCTCCAATAGGAATTCCTTGGCCTCAAGCACTCGCTCCTCATCATCGGTATTCTCCGTCAGACTCCGGACAAACTCTCTGGCATAAGGCAATCGTCTCTCCTCGGTAGACATCGTGGTACCTATTTGTTAATAGATGGGGGCAGATTATTTCATTGGTATGTTTGTTTGTTGCACTCAGCAATATTCCAGCTAGAAGACGGCGGTCTGCAAATAATCGAGTCAGGACCAGACAATCCAGTGATTAACATAAAAACAACAACGATGACATGTGACTGACCACCCGATGCAGTTAGTCGCCTGTTACGACAAGTATACATTAATTATAATTCTAAGATCAATTCTAACCGGATCTGCATGGGTACATCAGTATATCATCAGTCACAGGCGAACGTTGAATACATGTAGTGCAGCATAACAGATGGTTTCATCACACATATAAATTTCACCGCTGGTTTGAGTTTTACGGCCAATGAGATTCAGACTGGTTATTCTGTGATGTCCACGAAATATTCCTCTTCGTTGTCTATGCTGTCAAACAGATTTTTACAAGTAGGTAAAATCAAGCAGTATAAACTGGCATGTTTTGTTATCTCTTAAGCGACATATCATCAATTAAATAGGATTTAAGTCCTGTTGAAATTAAAAATAATTTGGTCGCCCAACCATCCCTTCACTACAAGTTACATTTCTCGAGGACGCTACACAGTAACCGTAACAGTGACATATCTTGAGTTTACCGTAATGTACCATGTGAAACGCCCATATTTGCTGAAACGATGTCTACGTAATGTGAGAGCTAAAACACTATGAGTAGTCCACGGTTGGTTAAGACTGACTTTGGCGAAATGAAATGAAGGCTCGTCATACACAGTGTAAGACCTACAAGATCGTCTAACTGACAGCTACATAATTTACACCTGTTAACTACGTAAATACAGTAAGTATATACATGCACCACTACACAAGGGAAATTCGTGGTAAGGAGTTTCAACATGAACACGAAAATAACGTTGACCTGAGTACAATAGTGAAGGGCATATTGTGTTTTACGACATTGACCTCAGTACAATAGTGAAGGGCATATTGTGTTTTACGACATTGACCTGAGTAAAGTAGTGAAGGGCATATTGTGTTTTACGACATTGACCTGAGTACAATAGTGAAGGGCATATTGTGTTTTACGACATTGACCTGAGTACAATAGTGAAGGGCATATTGTGTTTTACGACATTGACCTGAGTACAATAGTGAAGGGCATATTGTGTTTTACGACATTCGAACGTACAGGGTTTTTTTCATATTAGGTAAACCTGACACCCATGACTAAATAGGAAATCAATCTACCTGTCCCAGCCCACTAACAGCAAACGAAAATTGTATAAAGTATGTATTTATTACAACGATTGTTTACACACAGTTTAAACTGAAATCGGACGACGCTGGTGTGTTACGCTCGGTGTTATTATATGCAGTGTTCCTCAATAGCAGTACTGATAGTTTACCCGAGTGTTTCCGATTAACATTGCGGAAATTCGATGGTTTCATGCGGAAAGCGTGTTAACAATATCCACTGTCAGGCTTCCGGTTTGGTCATATGTTTATCGCAAAGGCGCCCGGCTCTGATATATTTATAAGTGTGACCTATATCTTATATATATATGTCTTACATATAAATATATCAGAGTCGGGCGCCCATGGTTTATCGATAGTGTAAATGCTCAAAGAAAACAAAAAATCAAAACAAATATATAGTTTTATGTCGAATACTGATCCCAATTGATTTATGAAACAGAGGTCGGGATTAGTTAAATAAATAGCTAAGTCATGTTAACAAACTCAAGGGCCTGAGTTAACTTTTCTTAATAAGGGGGGCACTATCAATGTTAAAAGAGTGTTATATCAATACTTTGATGCATAAAATGTAATCTGTAACAACAATCCCGGTCTAACTACGGCCCTGAGCTCTTGTATAAAGACATCTCACTACCACCGTCCTTCCTGCACATCCCCTTCTCACAACTAAACAAACACATCTCTAATGCAATTGCAACCAAAATAGGACATCAATTATTGAAAAGCAGAGGCAAATGGAAGTATGTACTCTGCTATGAACAGTTGTCACAACGTAAATAATTTTCATATTAGCATTTACACTATCGATAAACATACGACAAAACCGGAAGCATGATGTTGAAACCTATGTAAATTTTGAAATGTTGGAAGACGACGAAATGCTGTCAACTCTCCAAGGTGCAGCTACACAGTTCACACGATTCCTAGTGCGGGACACATACCATGCTGTCATTATAAACTTTGCAAACTATGTCTATCATTTGAAACAATATCTTGAGTTTGTATTTTAATGGAGGCACAAGTGACGCCATCCCTTTGTGAATGTTTCTGAACATATCAATTGTCAACTATGAATAACATTGTCCTGTATGTAAATACTAATGTGTTGTATGTTTGATTGAATTCATGTATCAATAATCTTCGGATTGATTTCTGGAGGAAATAAAGAATCTCTCTTTCTCTCTCTCTCTATCGATAAACATACGACAAAACCGGAAGCATGTCAGTGGATATTTTCCACACGCACAGCGAGTTGAAAAGTAATGTGAAACCAACGAATAGGTGGTGATTATTACTTACACTGTTGGATTGAAGGATCTGTGGTGAGTACACGAGAAACATACGCAAAACATACACACGTGTAAATTCCACCATAAGTTGTCGGCTGTTAAGATGCGTGTGTGGTTTACTTGTAGCGCTGCACATACCACACAGATTGTGACGCTCAATAGATATATAGGGCAAAGGGCAAAGGTGAATGTCTATTTAAAGCGTGGTTCATGTTTACAAGCAGACAAGTCTCGCTTCAGATGCTGGCGTTCACAAGTCTTACTTTAGACTAACGCTTAGTCCCTATAATATCTAACTCTGATAGAAACAAAGAGCTCCATTTAAATTGCTTGGGGCTCCTTGTCCCAGTGAATGGGAGATTCAGAACCCGACGAAAGCTAGACTTGCTTCATTTAGAGCGTTTGTGTTACAGGTAGTGTTGGATTGAAGGGAAATAACATGGTTCAGGGACTGTGAGACAGGCTAGTCTCGCTTCAGCTGTTGTGGTCTTTGATAAAGCTGGGTCAGAGATAGTTTTGACGTCTGTTCACTGAGATTCATGTGTGTACATGCTACAGCAGTGTTTATACATAGTGCAGTTGCATCGTAATATCGTTGGAATGTAACCTCCATGATATGTATCCTACAAACTCTATCTTGTCTTGTGGCGTGAGTATATCTGTTACAGTAAGATTGTAAACGAGGGATTTAGGTGAATAGATGAACATTCCGAGAATTTGTAATGCGGTACTGTTATTCATTGAGGGACAGTGCAGTTTTTGTTAACATTGTTCATGTTGAGATTCCGTGTTGACACATGTTGTGTCAGTTATCTTCAGACAAGGAGTCAAGAGTGGAATTTTCCCGTTACCAAAGTGAGTAGTGAGTGAGTGAGTTTAGTTTTACGCCGTTTTCAGCAATATTCCATCAATATCACGGCGGGGGACACCTGAAATGGGCTTCATATATTGTACCCATGTGGGGAATCGAACCCGGGTCTTCGGCGTGACGAGCAAACGCTTTAACCACTAGGCTACCCCACCGCCCCTCCAAAATGAGTAGAAAACCAGGGCTGGGGATGCCCTTAAGTTGACATACATTGTATTAGAATATGTCTGCGCCTTCAAGTGATGTCATACCTTAAACATCATTTATATGACATCACATATGGAAAACTTTCATAGCCTTATTTCAATACCTTTTTTCATTCGACTTTTTATACAAAAGCGTCCAACCTGACGACATAGGCATCTTGATGCTGGTACATATTAATATATATAATAATAATGTTAAATTTGTATAGCGCCTGTCATAAGGCGTTTGGTCGAATGCTCTGTTGAAGAGAACTGTTTTGTTTTTTTTTCGAATGGAATGATGCCCGACAAGTTTTTCAAAGTTTCAGGTAGTTGGTTCCATAAAAGAGGACCTGCTTTGGCTAAAGCTCTATCGTCATAACTTGCTCTGCGGGTAGGGGGCACTGCTGCTTGTTTTGCAGAGGCTGATATCAGAGTTCGTGACGGCTGATACAATGACACTGGTTCAGCCAGGTAATCTGGAACTTGTGAAGGGCCTTGTGCACAAAGACCAACACCTTGAAGACAATTCTTTGTCTGATCGGCAGCCAATGCAGTGTCCGTAAGGTTGGCGTGATGTGTTCGTATTTGCTTGCACCCGTGATGAGTCTTGCTGCTGCATTTTGAAATGCTGAGTTTGTTGATAGTTTGCTGCAATATGCCAAACATCAGAATATTCCAATCGCGAGATAACCATTGCTTGGATTAAAGACTGAATAGCTGATCTGTCAATGAAGTTCTTGATTTGGCTGATGTTTCTCAGATGGAAGAACGCGGATTTACAGACAGTGTCTGCATGCCGATCCGT